GTTGACATAATGTTGTACACACGCGTGCATGCACCACTAATAAATACTACTACTACTACTACTACTACCGGTACTAAACTGTGAACACATGCAATTATAATTAATCAGCAGTGACTCATAATTTGTCACTCAGAGCCTCAGCACTGTAGCGGATTACTGCAGTCATACCTCTTGCCCGGTGAGGAACAGTAAAATATCCCCTTGGTCCTCCTCGCACATGTGGATTTGAACAACGGTGCGGACGGCCGCCTCCAGGTAGTCACGCTCGGGTTCGGGCGTGTAGAAGACCTCCACGGGGTGCGTGCGTCCGGGGATGGACAGCAGCGGGCAGCCGTCAAAGAATGCCTGGAACTTGCCTGCATCCAGCGTGGCGCTCATGACGATTACCTGCAACGCGGAAAAACAGCCAGGGAGAGCGGCCAATTATGGAGCGGCCACTCGAGCGGAGAATGAGTTCACGATCCGTGACAATGATGATGATGACACAAGGTGGTAAAAAGCCACACAGGATGACTGTTGTTCTTGCAGGCTTTTGGGACGCTCTCGCAAGATGTTGGCGACCGACACAGGGACACCGCAGTCCTCGTCGGCTCATGTTGGGTACATGTCATTCCCTTCCAAGCCATCACATCAAGCGCATTAGGATTCTGAGGGAAAGTGTGTCACTCCCTTTTCAATCTCCGCTATTTTCCGGGGTCGGCGTCTCGGCATTTTCGCTTTACGCACGGCGGGGCATCATAATTGCTCTTAATCAAGGCAAATTAAACGTCCCGGATTCGCCAGCCGATGGGGATGCAGGAGATGGGGAGGGCGTGCGCTAGGAAGGAGGATCGTTCGCAATAACCTCAGATTCCACAATGACAAACAATCAAGGCACAAGAAAAATAACCCGCCCGGCTCCCCCCAGCCGATGGGGATGCAGGAGATGGGGAGGGCGTGCGCTAGGAAGGAGGATCGTTCGCAATAACCTCAGATTCCACAATGACAAACAATCAAGGCGTTATCCATCTGCTTTATGAGCACTGCGGTTAACAGCCGAGTCAGGTTTAGAGTTACTTGCCGATGGATTAACTATCGGCTGTGAACAAAGAAACAGTTTTTGAAGTAAATAAAGAACGGTTTTCAGACTACAAGGGACTTCTCGAGGCAGGGCTTAGCCATGGTCATTACTGCTCGGTGTAAGAAGGTATAAGTGTGTCAGCAGTGGTGGGCGTGTCATTAAATATTCGGCAGCAACAAACCCACAAGTCCGCCATCATCAGTCCGTCATTATTTAAGGCAGATTTCAGTCGTTTGGGGGATGGAAGAAAATAGCTTCCATCGGTGCTTAGTCCATCAGTGGCGGACTCACAGACCTTCCACCCGTACCGATGGACTGACTGTCGACGCCACAACGTTGCTGCCCACCTCTGGTGTCAGTTTCCAATCAGGCGCATCACATTTACCTTGAGGTCCGATCTTTGGCGGAGCACCCGCTTGAGGACGCCTAGAAGGACGTCTGTGGCGAGCGTGCGTTCGTGAGCCTCATCCAGAACAATGACGGCGTAGTGCTCCAGCCACGGGTCGCTCATGGCCTCCCGCAGCAGCATTCCGTCCGTCAAGTACCTGTGGAAATAAATTGTGATTTAGAAATATTTCTGTTCCTGTTAGGATCTTGTGAAGTTGTAATGGACATTAATACGTTAGCAGTATCACTGCAATGACATGTGGGTTAGGTCTTGGTGGAGCCCAAGCTCCTCAGAATGGTGACATATCGTACGGTATGTGTGCCCTTGATATGTGTTCTTACTTGAGTACGGTCTTGGTAGAGCTGCAGTCCTCAAAGCGGATGGAGTACCCCACTTCTTGGCCCAGCGTGACATCCATCTCGTCGGCCACCCTCCGGGCGACGCTCATGGCCGCCACCCGCCTGGGCTGGGTGCAGGCCACCGCCCGCTTGGCTTCCCCCGTGGACTGAAACGTTTCCACGCACCACTGGGGGATCTGGTGGACAAAAAAAAGTGGAGGTGAAAAGGAAGGCGAAATGTTGGATTGGTCAGTCCAGAATTTAGAGGACAGTCTAAGGCACCACAATTTGTTGAAAAATAGTGATTGGAGAAATTAGTTTAATTAATTAATGTCTTTATTTAATTTACCCACATGCTTCTCCTACCTGTGTAGTCTTTCCAGAGCCGGTCTCTCCTACAATAAGGAAACACTGGTGATGCATCAGGATGTGTGTGAAATTCTCTCGGTAGTCCCACACAGGGAGCTGCTGCCGTTTCTTGAGAATCTGGTAGTATCGAGCTGTGTAGGGCAGCTGAGTGAACGGGTTGATGTGCTCCTGCATGGCGGTTTGACTTCGGTCAGTCTCCGTTTCTCCACGCTGAACACAGGAGCCAGCCCTTGACTGCTCATCAACACCTCGGCACCTGTCCTTGTCACGCCTGAAGGGGACAGAGACAGAAACATGAAACCGTTGTATTTATTTTGCGAGGGTTAGATATTGCAAACACACTTCACATGTACGCGACTGGCTGAATTGGTTGCATAAACTCTGTAGGTGGAGAGCGCTTTCTGGACAGAGTTGCCACATCTAATATGGCGCACACACTAGCGCATTGCAGAAACCGGCCAACGCGTTCAAAAAGTCCTCTACGTGTATCTTTCTACGGATAGCTAGCATTCTGTCATTATATTGAAAACGCTCCTCGCATTAATTTATGGAGAGACTTGAAGGGCTTTGGACAATTTTATAACAATACTGTAAATAAAACCAGAGCCTAAATGTTGTTGGTCGTCAGAACTTTCGGAGTGGGAGTCACGTGATGTCTGCCAACCAATTGTAACAATGCTAATCCAAAGCGAGTCGACCGATGTCAAACTGTCGCACGTCGTCGTCTCTCAATTTCCAATTTTTGAGACAAAAACACCACGTGTTATAACATCCGATGACTCGTTGAGAGCTGCTGACTTCGTGAAAAAAAAATCATAAAAATACGCCCAATTATGAACAAACCCGATGCCTGCTATTGGGCTAGCATCATGGGCTGCCCTATGTGAAAAGAAACCCTGCATACATTCTTAATCGAAACTGAAAAATGACAGCCATGTTCGTCCTCACCTCATCATGTTTATCCTTACACAGGTGTCATGATGTCGACACGTCGCATGCTTGCAGGGAATCGGATCGTTCAAGCTTGATGAGGAGGACGAGAGAGATGCTGATGCACTGAGCGTCCGCCCCCTTCGGCTGCAAACGCTGCTGCAACTGCAGCACTGAAAGGATCCGTCGCTATTCACTTGGGAAAAAGAAAAAAAGTTATAAGAAAATGCTCATCGGTTGAAAAACAATCTATAGATCAATTCAGAATTGGAGAACATTTCCTGCCCTTTGAAATTTAAAATACTGGAATCCATGCACAAAACACAGAAACATGCACGAGTTGTTAAAAAAAATTTATGTAGTTTTTGCTGTATTAAACGTGAATCATATCAATTATTGAGAGGAAAATCAATGAATTCTTAGCGTTTGATTATCAAATGGATCAACCATTTTAATCATCGATTTATCATTTAATAACCTTGTTTAACTGCAAATTGTTTAACTTCAAATCCTCTGATTTCAGCCTCTCAACAGTAAATATTTCTGGAGTCCTCTGTGAAAGTAGTCCGAATATTTTTCGTGTCGAATCAAAGTCGGACATTCCCAAACATCTTCTTTTACTTTGTAAAACAATATTCAACATTTTTGCCAATTTTCTGGCAGATGGTACATACCAAACCTATAAATGAATCATCATATTTATGTTGTTGCAGTTTCTGCACAGTCAATTTGAAATAATTTCCTTTTTTTTAATTAAGTAATGGAAATTGAAATGTTTTTTTTTCAGATTCATTGATTAATTGAAATATTGAGTCAACAGTTTAATCGATTATGAAAGTAATCATGAGTTGTTATATTTTTTAAATTACCAAATTGCTCAGTGACCAACTTAACATAGCTAATGAAAAAGAAGTGCTTTATGATTGTGTTTTTCCTCCTTATTACTGTCAAAACATATTTTACATTGTTGTAATTATGCTCTGTGATTGTGACTCTCAACATAAATGCAACCCGGTTGCTAAAATCTTTTTAGCCATCACGAGGAAGAGGAAAAAAGTGAGCAACATGACTCAGCAGCAACGACTTCTTGATTAGCATGCATGGGTAGTATTTTTATCTTTTTTTTTTCTCCTTTTCATACTTTTTCAAATCAGTTGAATCAACTTAATCCTCATTAAGTCACAATAAATCTACAAAATATATTTTTAAAAATCCCTCCCACAATGCAGTTGTTATCTCGTTTTCCTTTTCATCTATGCTACTGATGTAGCTGGAGGCTGAGCAGGCTTTTGTTCACCTTCACTTGTGATTCCATCTCAAAAGAGGAGTGACAACCTCTGCCTGTTTCCCTCTCTGGCGCACTGCTGCCCTTTTCTGACAGCTAATAACAAGGCCTGTCAGCAGCAGAGCAGAAAGTTACACTTGTCAAGTCGTGTGCCCCAAAAGCTGCGGGCGTCCAGGCGTCTCCCGAGATACGAGAACAACTCGGGCGCGCGAGGGCCATCGCAAAGATGAAAAAGAATCAGCCGCTTGCGAGAGTCATTAACCCCGGCTTGGAAAGTGCGGCCTCCGAAAAGCCCATCTTCGCCCTTCAACCTTCCGCGAGATGATGATGATGATGATGATGATGATGACGGTCCAACTTATTGGAGCCCCTGTGCATGGTGGTGACCCCGCCAGCTGCGTCATGAAATTGTGGGAAAAGGTGAAAAAAAGACAAAACTGCAAAGCTTACAGTAAAAATAAGCTGAAGGGCAACACTACTTGTACTGAATCGATAAGGTGTTTGTGTTACTTGTAGCATGCTGTTTCCATTTGTTTGATTCATATAAAGTTTTTAAAAAACTGAGCTGCACCACTACTTAGAGTGCTGGTGTCAAACTCAAGGCTCAGCGCCCAGATCTGGCTCACCACAACATTTTATGTGGCCCGCAAAAGCAAATCAGGCATGTCAACTTCCATGACGTTTGCTAAAGTCAGTGCCAAAATTTCAAATTGTCATATTAAATAATATTTAATAATAATGATATACTGTGTTTTCGTGTTATCCCAAAAGTTATTCCAGGAACCTCAACAATAGTTGAAGTGGTAATATTTTTAAATGAATAAAAGATAATACAAAATGATTTACCGCTCGTTCACTGCTGCTTGCACCCCTTAAATAATTCAAAATGTATATGACGGAATCAGCTACTGACAGTATCAGGCCATCTGACAAACGGGAGTTGGCCCAGGGTTGACTGATCAGTCAGGAAAAGTGCTGACTGCCCCCTATGTGTCAAAATAGGAACTGAACCCCCCCCCCAAATAGTTGCAGCACATTCTTTTATTTCTACAGTATTTATTGCAAAAAAATAATAATAATTCCAACTAAATTTGGCCACAACGGTTCCATGAAATTCGCAGTTGTAGCTCTGATGTTGTTGGAATTTATGTTGAGGGAATGTATGTCACACAAGCCCGCAAGAGCTCCAGGATCTTCTTGGCAAAATGCTGTTTTCTCCCCAAACAACTTTGCAAATCTCTTCGCTGTCTTGGAGGCGTGCAAAGATTCCTGATGAGGAATCCAAAAGCGAGCTGCTATCGTCTTACGACTTCATTAGTTCGCACTCCATCTGCTTGAGAAAGTTCGGCTCCTCGCTCGGGGACGAAAGGGGGCTCTTCGCGGCGTGCCAAATCAGCTGGCTGGCGTCGGGTTCACGCCGCCGCCCGCCCGCCGCTCCAATTTATTTAGTGGCGTGGGGATTAAAAATAGCATATTGCGCCGGGTAAGCGCTTCATGGTTTCTGGCGTTTTGCATTGAGAGGCCAGCTGTCACCCGCGTGGGAGTGGGTGGGTTGGGGGGGGGGGGGCTGTTTCAGCCTCTCAACAGTCAATATTCAACTTCTTGCCACTGATTGCAGGCGGATGATCAATTTCCAAAAATGACTTTTACAAACAACTCCTTTTTATTTTGAAAATCACAACGATCAACATTTATGCCGATTTTCTGACCTATTTTACGGATCAAAGCGTTAACGGTAAAATCATCAATTCACGCTCCGTCAAATTGAAATAATGTCCCGTTTTGCAATGAAGCAAGGAAATGAAAAGGCAGTCTTCTTCAAATGCATTCACGCCAAGCGGTGACGTATGTCACGCCACGCAGCTCGGCGTCGGACGGTCCTCCTGGCAACGTTCCGCCGCATGTGAGTTGCGATTATATATTATATATAAGGCGCGACTGGCTGGGTGAGGCGTCCAGCGCCAGCGCAGCTTCCTCGCCCTCCTCCACCGTTGCCACCACGTCTGGCTCCTGGGCTTCCCGCCCCGCCTCCTCCACGGGACTCCGTCCGTCTTCTTCCGTCGGGGTCGCCGGGTCGCCTCGTCTGCCGTCAATCTCGTTCGTCTGCGCCGCCGCCGCCAGCTGTGCCACGCCATCTGTGCCAAGGTCGCCAGCGGCCGTGTGGCACTCCCACAATGATTCATGGGAACTTGGGTCGTGTGCAGTGTTGCCACATTTGCCTTGAAGAAGTAAATGATTTACTTGACAAATTACTTGCTTTCAAAGGTAAATGAGTTACTTTCGTGATAACTGATTTTAAAAGTAAGTTACATTTCAAGTTGCTTTAGCATTTAGATTCACCAGCTATCGACAACCCTGCTTAACATAAAATATGACACCCGGTTTTGCCTCTCAATTGGCAGTGCATTTTTAACAGTGATATTTAAGAATAAAGTTTGGTTTTATTCAAAATAAAGACAACTTTTTGGACTTACCACAATTATTTTTAGTCCCCTGCATTTCACTTAACATAAAAGGACTACTTGTCTTTTCATTAAAAATGTTGAATCAAACTTTCAAGACTTCACTTTACATAATTACTTTTTAAAATAAAATATAAAATAAAGGCAGGCGGCACGGCGGTCGACTGTTTAGCACGTCTGCCTCACAGTGCCGATGTGGGTTCGATTCCGGCTGCGGCCTTCCTGTATGTTCTGCCTATGCCTGTGTGGGTTTTCTCCGGGTACTCCCGTTTCCTCCCACATTCCAAATACTTGCATGGCAGGTTAATGGATCACTCAAAATCACTGGTGTCACACTCAAGTATTGCTCTTCCAAAATACCGTTGTTACATCACGTTGAATTAAATGTAATCAGTCCAGTAATGTTTTGCGATATTACAAGAGCAACGGTAGTCTGATTACTTGACTCAAAAAAGGAATGCTTAGCCGTTCTCGGAAAATGCGCACATTTTGGAGTTTACCGACATCGGTTCTCGTTTTCATACAAATTGCACTTTGGGACGACAGTAACCTACCACTATTATTCGTCATATTAGTGAAAAAGTAATCACCAACAATATTGCAACTTCACTGAGAGTAGCGGTAGCGACGCCATCTGCTGGCTCTGACAGGCAACTACCCTTACTGGTCCTACGTCCTTAATGCAAAGTGAATGCTCTCTGTTTGGTCAACACAGACAATGTTATTTCAATTGTGGCTGGAGCACTTCCATAGCAACAGTCTAAATATAGTCACAGCGACAGTGACAAGGGGACATGTGACAGCAACAGCTTAGTTCTGCCTCTTCGCCAAAATGTGGCCGCACTTTGGGGGATTACTGACCCATATTTGTGGACACGCATGGAAAAAAAAAAAAAAAGAAAAAAAAAGGTTAAAGACTCTCAAAGGCCCCGCAGACGAACATGGGAGGAGAACGATGTTACTTGAGTCCGGCATCCATATTTAACCCCCCCCCTCCCTTTCCCCCTTTACGCATACATTTCACACTTGGTCGTCTTTCAAGAGAAGTTTGTGAATGTCAGCGGGCGAGAATTCGCCTCCCATTTTCCAAATGCCACGGCATTTGGGCAACTCGCGCCGATGAGGAGACGAGGCGGCAGAGGCGACGGACGCGTGGGCTAATGGCGCTTTTCGTGCCATCTCGCCGGTGGGCCGACTTTGCACGCGCCTTACCTGCAGGCGGACGGTGAGGCTGAGAGGCCGCCTGCGTTGGATGGAGCCCCGGCGGGAGGTTCTCGTTGGATGGCGCCTCGTTCTGCGTTCCTACCAGAACAAAATCTTAGTTTAGTCATCAGCCCACTTCAAGCGCTGACCTACATTCACAACATGAATTTGTCTCTTGAAATTGTACTTATTTCTTCATCTTCATCATTTGATGAGATTTGGCCCATTAC